CATCTCCAACATCATGTAGTGAAAATAATAGAAATATTTATAATTGAATTAAATTTTAATTTTAATGGTTTATTATTTTTAGTATTGATTCAATGATCATTATTAATTTTTCTATTCTTGCATAAACATTCTTACACGACGCATTCTCATATGATTTAGAAAAATATTTCTTCAACAATCTATATGCTAAAATAAACTTAGAAAGAGAAGAAAAAAAAGTAATATATATAATAAGTATATGATCTATAAGAAGAAAAGAGATAGAGAAAAATATGGATATTTGAAATACATATATATTCAAATATCATTACTTTATGATATAATATCATATATCTTCTAACAGTAAATTATAATCTCTTAGTGTATTGAGATTAAAGATAGATACAAATTGGATTATATTAGATTTAAGATATATTTTTATTTGATCTAAACAATTTCATTTGCTTTGAATTAGTTTAATCTTTTTTTTTATTATTTTATTTCTATTTTGAACTAATAAAATTTAATCATAGTTTAGTTTGGATAATTAGATTTATTATTAAAATACTAAGAAGAAAATTATATTAGACAATATGTATATTAATTTAATTAATTTAAAAAGGAATATTTTTATATTAAAAAAGCAATTAATTAGATTTGCAATATAAGAATTCAATTATTAACAAATAAAAACTTATATAAAAAGTTTTAAAGTCCTTAAAAGTTTAATCTTTAAATCAATAAAACTGAACCTAATTACATAAATATCCAATACCTTAAATGAATAGCTATCCTCTTATGGGGAAAAGAAAAAGAAAAAAAGAAAGAGAGAGAATAATGTAGTGGATTCCCGATAGAACGCAGTTGTAGTTCTTGAATCTTGACGGGAATTCGGGCTCATCATATGACGTGTCGAATTTGAAACGATGAAGGTGCCACTGCCATGCACCCCATTCTGGTTTCTTCTTAGTTCTTAGTCGCCATGATGTCATGTCTCTCCGCTCGTGTTCCCAAAGAAAACAAACCAAACGAAACACGACACCATAAAATATATTAATAATAATATATGGCAAAAACAAAAACATTTGTGCGGATGCAAATAGTGATGTACAAGGCAAGCCATCACGAGGACCTGACGAACTTTGTCTTTGTTAATAATATCTTCACACTTCACACTCACATGACGCGAACACTCTACACATCTCAACTTAAACACAACACAATATATAGTAACATTATCAACTATCTTCATTTCCGTTGAAGATGGGTCCGAAATTGGCGAAATCGGGGTCGTTTCGTCACGGTTTGGTGGAGAAGAAGGAGAGGCTTCTCTCGGCGAAGAGTGTTGGTGAAATTGGCATGCGAGAAGAAGAGCAATGGAGGACGGTGAAGTGGTGGAACAAGTTGAAGCGCGTGGCTGAGAAGGCATGGGAAATGGGTCGTTCTGATCCAAGGAAGATTATTTTTTCTGCCAAAATGGGTCTTGCTTTGACACTTATTTCACTTCTCATTTTCCTCAAAGAACCCTTCAAGGATATGAGCAGATACTCTGTCTGGGCCATTCTAACTGTCGTCGTAGTCTTTGAATTCACCATAGGTATAACTACAATTAATACAATATGCATGTATTAGAAATGCGATGTGCAAGTGTTTATGTGTGTTGAGTTAAGGGCTCAAGCCTCAAGCTTTTGAATTAATTAGATGGATAAGCATATTTGCTCTGTTTTAAATCATTCTCCCCACGTGTGGAGTTGATTTGGTAAATTACACCTGGATTAGTATCTCTATTTAGAGGAAAACAAGATTGTCTGCACTGCAGTTCCGAAAAACCATAGGATTAGGAACATGCAACTGGAAAATCAGACATTTTCATTTATGCAATTGTCTATAAATTTTTTTCTGTCACAAAATGAATTATTCTTTTATGGTTGAGGAATTGTAGGTGATGTTGATCCTGTACTTATTTTAAAGAATAAGTACGGTAGTTTGATGTGGGGAATTTTAATTGGAATAGTGAGTAGAAAACTAATTGAATAATTGACCATGCGGGCCACCGTTTTAATTCTCTTCTTTAATGTTCATGGATTCAGTAGCCTCTGTTGCTTTCTCAATCGGTTATTTCCATTTCATGCTTTTAATTGGATCAAGGGGGCATATCTTTCTAATCTGTCTATACATTAAATTCATGAGTAATGAATTAATGATACACGCGACAACTTTCTCAATATTTTAATCATTTTGTACAAATATTATTTCTCTAAATTCATTGTAAATTATAATCAAATATAATTCATTTCTACAGGGGCAACTCTGAGCAAGGGGTTTAACAGAGGGTTGGGAACTTTGTCGGCTGGAGGACTTGCTCTGGGGATGGCAGAGTTATCAGCATTGGCCGGGGAATGGGAGGAACTTATAATTATTATAAGCATATTCATTGTAGGTATGCTTTGTTTCACAATCACTTTCCTTTCGTCTCTTGTTTATGAAAATTTGTTATACCTTATATTATGATCACGTGTGTGTTTCTAGCTTATGCCTGGTTTTCTGACTGGCTGTGTGATTTATAGGATTTTCTGCCACCTATGCAAAACTATACCCTACTTTGAAGCCTTATGAATATGGTTTCCGTGTGTTCTTGATCACGTATTGTTTCATCACTGTATCCGGGTATCGAACTGGGGAATTTGTTGATACGGCTATAAATAGGTTTTTTCTCATTGCACTTGGTGCTGCTGTATCTTTGGGAGTAAATATCTGCATATTCCCAATTTGGGCTGGTGAGGATCTGCATAATCTTGTTACCAAAAATTTCATGGGTGTTGCAACATCTTTGGAAGGTATTGGTACAATATTGTCTTCATCATATTTCATTTCCGGTTAGTATCATTTAGTTTGTGCTTCTCAAACTTGTTTCCTAGGTTGTATAACTCTGTTGGGCTTCTTTTATTTCAGGTGTTGTGAATCACTACCTTCATTGTGTTGAATATAAGAAGGTTCCATCTAAAATTCTTACGTACCAAGCTTCTGATGACCCGGTTTACAGTGGCTACAGATCGGTTGTTGAATCTACAAGTAAAGAAGATTCATTGGTACGTCTACTTCAGATTTCTCTGGTTCATGAATATATATTTATCATCATTTTGACTCATTGTTATATGCTTTTGATTGAAGATGGGATTTGCTGTCTGGGAACCACCACATGGCAATTACAAAATGCTGAAGTATCCATGGAAGAATTATGTGAAATTAAGTGGGGCTCTAAGGCATTGCGCATTTATGGTCATGGCTATGCATGGATGCATACTTTCTGAAATACAGGTACTTCTTTGTCGCTGAAATTTTTGCTCTCCATTATGATGGCTATTGAGTAGTCATCTGAATCCACCTTTTTCTACTGAACATCTTTTTGTGATACATAGGCACCAGCTGAGAAGAGACAAGTTTTCCGCAGTGAGCTTCAGAGGGTAGGTTCTGAAGGCGCAAAAGTGTTGCGTGAACTCGGAAAGAAAGTTAAACAAATGGAGAAACTGGATCGGGGAGACTTGCTGTATGAAGTGCACGAGGCAGCCGAGGAATTGCAACAAAAGATTGATAAAAAGTCTTACCTTCTTGTCAATTCAGAGTGCTGGGAAATTGGAAACCGCCCCAGAGAAGAGGAGAGTGATCCTCAACAACAACAAGGCCTATTTAACATGGATGCAGAAAGAAAATTTCTTGAGTACAAGTCTCTTAGTGAAGCAGTACTTGATCTCAGAACAGTTGAAGTTCCAAATACTGGGGAAGGAAACATAGCTCAAAGCAATAACTCAAGCGTGCATGCAACCAATGCCTCTCAAAACATGTTCAGGAGACAGATATCTTTGCCTTCTAATATTTACCACAAATCAACTAACGTGCCCAAAGAGGGTCGTGAATCAAAAACTTATGAAAGTGCTAGTGCACTATCTCTAACAACATTTACGTCGCTTTTGATTGAATTTGTAGCAAGGCTTCAAAACCTGGTGGATTCGTTTGAGGAATTAGGTGAAATAGCAAACTTTGGTGACCCACTTGAGGAACGAGCACCCGCATCATGTTGTGGGTTTTTGGACCAGGCTGTTTAACTGCTTCAAATGCAAGGACTGAAACATGGACTTGCTCATTCATGTCAAGCTTCATCTTGCACAGTAGAATCTGAATTACTTTGGAGTGTTGCTAACTTCAAATGTAGATTGGTTGTAATGGGGACCCTTTTTGGTATCTAGGGATGCGAGAGTTAAGAGACTCGCATTTATACGTACCTAGTTGAAATTCTGATGAAAATTGCGAGAACAATCTTTGCAAGCAGTTTTCATATCAAATAATTTAGTTTCGCGATTATACATCCTAACGTGATGTTATTAATCTTCTTGATTTAGAGTTTAAATCAGTCTTCTTATTTGACAGTAATAGGATTTAAAACTAAGAATCCAGTATACTAATCTAATCCCTCATTAATGAGAAATCAGATATAAGCATCTATATTATATTATGAGTAACCACATTATATTATTACATTTGTCGTATAGACGTTTAAAGATTAAACAATATTATTTTATATTATTTTTACAAAATTTCCGCATAATATAAGGCTTTGCTTTGTGTTATCACTGTTATGGGAATTGGTGATCAAAGTTAGATTAGATAAAAGGAGACCCATTGGACTCAATAGGAGTCCAAAAGCCCATTTTAGTCATAAAACCACCCTACTCACATACAAGTAACACACATTCTTAAGAGTTAAGAGAAAGGAGAAGCGGAAGAGTGTATGTTGCATTTCACATCGCCGTCTGCATGCATAAGATAAGGGTTTTGAATCTTGTTTTTTTATGATTAAGGATTGTAATCCGTCCCCTCCGATTCTTTCCAAGTTTGTTTGTCTTTGTTATTTTCTAGGAGTTCTTCCTTAACTATGTGTGAATAAAACGCCTTTTTCTAGGAATGAGACATAATTTGCGTTAGTTGAATTACTTCGGCGCTTATTTATGTTCTTCTTTTGATCTAATATGTTGTACGAAATGGACAGTATCGTTGCATTGGTTTTAGAGTGTATTGGACTTGCATTCCAGGGATGCATGCAACAACCCTCTGGGCCAAGATTTCTACTCCATGCATTTTATTTTCCACGGATCCCTGCACTATTAGATGTATCAAACGGGTCGGGTCAGTTTCAACTACATGGGTCGAATGTTATTTTAGATTAAATTTAGTTGATGTGACCTATATACTCTTTTTGGGGTTACCATTTTTTTTCTTCCAATCTGGTCCATGTTGGGCTATAAGGCCATCTAACAAATTGACCTAATTAAAAAAAATAAAATGACAACTAAAATGAGATAAAAAAAATGTCAAAACAAAAAAAGAGAATCAATTAATTAGGTAAATATACTTGAACAGTTGTTGAGTGATAAAAAAATATATATATCCTTGAGAGACTATAACTATTGAAGCTAAAATAGCATAGTAGTTCCAGAATAAAGTAGCATCTTGTAACTTTGTTGTTTGAGTGGTGATGGTGAATCGTTATTATGGCTTCGTGAGCATAAGCACGAATTTAATTACATCTTTGTCTTCTTTGACAAACAAAATAAAGATGACAAGTTATGAGTCAAGTTATCAAGGGTGCAACAGGAGCAATTAAACTCTCATAATGACTAACCTTAACTCTAAACTTGTAACTACAACTTTGTAAGCAAATACAAATGAGAGAAAGACCATTACTATTCTAGTATTATTATATATATTTTTTTATTTTATAATAAATTATAGATTTATATATTGATAGTAGTTTAGATTATTCCACTTATTAGTTTAACATATTAGCTTGTATGTCTACGAGCCAGTCAGACCTATACAAATTTGGCTTGTCAAACTTAGTAAACTAGGTCAAAATGGCCTAATTCTATTTAGACCATTGTTTTCAAAGCCCAATCTAATCTTTGCAAGTTGGCCAAACTAGCCCATTGAACCAAATTCAAATTCACTACTTTATCAGTAATCTTTTAAACATAATTAGTAGAGGTTTAGATAGTTAAAATAACTTATTGAACATCATTTATTCATTTTGATAATTAAAATAATCGACAAAAAGTATTTAGTCCCCTTAAATTTTACCACTTTTGCAAATAGACACCACAAACTTTAAATTTGTTATAATTCATCCTTAAATTTTGTCTTGTTAACAAATAAACACCATAAACTTTAATTTTAATATAGTCTATCCTTAAACTTTACCATTTTTTTTTACAAATTAACACCTTGATTGTAATATTGCCTTAATTAATTATTTTTTTAAGTCTTTTATATTATATCGAGATTAAATTACTAAGATAAAATAATATATATCAATAATTTATTTATTTTAAATCATGCTTATTTATTAATTTTTTTGGTACATATATATTAGTTTTTTTTTTATATATATTAAAATTCCATATAATTTAGAAGGAAAAAATCAAATAAAGACTTCTATTTATTGTTTTCATCATTTTTTTTTCTAAACTCGTATTTTTATTATATGTAAAAAATAATAATTGTAACATAAAAAGAAAAGTTAGTGAATGATTAGTATTTAAGATAAATAATTTAACTCTAAATTGGTAATAAAAAAAACTCTATATAATTAATAAATTATGAAATGTCAAAATTAATTAAAATGAAATTAAAACCGAAGATATTTATTATAAAAAATAAATTTTAAGGATTAATTAAAACAAAATTAAAAGTTCATGATGTTTATTTACATATTAGAAAAAAAAATATGGATTAATTAGAATAAAATTAAAATTTATAGTATCTATTTGTAAATAAATAAAATTTAGGGTGATTGATTATTTTTTCTCTAAAACAATTAAATAAAAAATTACATAAAAAATTAGCAATTAATGATCATTCAATTACTTCGTCGGTGCTAATTTTATTTAATTAAAGTGTTTACTTTCACTTAATTGTTATAAGTGCATAAAGTTAAATTACCCTTAACCTGTGTTAAAAAATTAATTATTAACGATCTGTCTTTTATTTTGGACATTTTTTAATTGATTATCCAAAAAAGATATTAATTTGTTATAAATACACTATCTTGTTGCAAAATAACATATTTAAGATTTTAATGAGCACAGGAAACGAGTATGATATACATATTATTTTAATTAAAGTTATCAAAAAATATTTTCTACCAAATAAAATTATATATATTAATTTAAGACAAAAAATTATAAAATAATTACAATATATATGGGTCATAATTATAATATTTAATATAATTATATAACTAAAATAATAATAAAATCACATATATTTTGGAAAAATAAATTATATGTAATTAAAGTATTTATTTTAATTAACCTTAATATATAAAACATGAATGATCAACTATTTTCGAGACTAATTTTTTTAAGTTTAAAGATTCTTTTAATTTCATATTTAATTTAATTTTTATTTATTATAATTATTTATAATTTAAATTTTAATATTTGTAAACTAGTATTTTAACTTATGTAATATAAAAATATTATTATATATATAACTAAAATTTATAATAAATTATACATACAAATAATTTTTTTATTATATTTAAATATATAAATTATATTTAAAATTTATATAAGTAAATATATTTAAATATATAAATTATATTTTAGATTTATTATTAATAAATTATATTATAGCATAATATTATTTTTATTTAAAAAAATATTAAAATTTGATTCATAAATAATTATGTTAAATAAAAATTAAAAAAATCTCTAAAAATCTAATATATATTTCTATTTAAAATATAGGAATTAATATATAAAAATATACAAATTTATAAGATGATCATTCAATTACATAGATAAGGTCATAAAAAATAGTTATTCAATTACTAATTAGGCGTTAAAAGATTTAATAAGCTATTTATTTGTGATTAATTACGATAGTTAAATCACCATATTACCTTAATTTGAGCATGTGTGCAATTTGATGCTAGCTAACTTTTTTCTTCTTCTTTTTCCAAAGATTTTTTAACTGATTACCTAAGTACATGTTTTATTTTTTCTGATGCATATTCTTCCATTAGAATGCAATAGTGTGTGATTAGCATAAGTTTAAAAATTTACAAAACATACTACATATTTAATAATTTTTTTTATAATACATATTTTATTCATCTAATCATTGAATCATATAATATTTTATGTGTACCAAATTTCATATAATTTCAAAATTATTTAATAATTTATTTCATTATTTTATTTATATATATATATATATATTAAAATTAAGGAAATGATTCAGCCTCCGATCGTTTATGTCGAAATCCTTTTCGAATAAATAAAATAATAATTTAAATTATAAAATATTAAATTAAATAATTATTTTATAATAAATTTATTAAAAAATATTATTATTTTAAGTATTCGGAACATGGTTCGGACAATTTTTCGAAAGGTGTAGCATAACTCTAAAATTAATTATCTTTGGTTGGTGTGTATCAAAAATATTTATTTAGAGAGTTAATAATTTCTTAAATAAATTAAATTATTATTCTTACCTAGGATTGCCTTGATATCGGCTTCTCTGGGCAAGATCCTAAACTCTTATCTCCTTGATGATATGATTTTTCTAATGAGGGAGTATTATGTAAAAGAGATTCTGATAATTAAGTTAGTATTCGATGATGAAGATATTCTTTATTTATAATGCACGTACCTTTTTTTTTAGATGTAAGATTATTTTATCTACAAGTGTTATGATCTTTGTAGTATGGATGTTGTAATCGTATTTTATATTCTTTGATTAAGTTTTTGGATGACCTAGCCTTATTCGACCAATGTGGTATACCAATGTTGTTACCATGTCATTTGAGTCATGATACCAATGTCTTCTATCCTTAGTCGAGTTCATTGGCTCGGTCGGGTTGGTACAATTACTATTTAGAATTAGTCCTTATCTTTCAATTAAAGAAAATATCTTTATAAAAAAAAAATTCAATCATGTAAAAAGAAAAAGAAAAGTTCTGATTTGCTATCTACTAGTCTCAATTTCTCTTCTTTCAATTTACATAGGTGTATAGTTCGATATTATCAATGCTTGCTGAGTGGTATTTAAGCAAATGGTGTTGCGTGCTGAATCATGTGTACGTGTGTTTCAAATTTCAATCATGAGACCCATTGTCATACTTTTTAGCTTCATATTCATTATGTCTACCATCTTCCTGGGTAGAAAGGTGAAGAAAGATGAGCATAGTCGCCCCCCAGGTCCACCGACCATTCCGGTAATCGGTAACCTGCACGTGTTGGGAAAGCGCCCACACCGCAGCAGAGCAATTCCTGAAGACACACGACGTCGTTTTCTCTAGTCGTCCCACGCATGAAGCAAATTACTACTTAGACTACGGCACCAATGGGTTGGCCTTCTCTAACATGAGGAAAATGTGCGCTTTACAATGTTATAGAGAATTTTGTGTACAAAATGGTGTTGGGCCTCAACAAGGATGGTGAGTTTGATTCAGAAACAACATAACCTTCTTGGTGCATTTAATCTAGCGGATTATGTGCCATGGCTTCCACTTCTTCATCTTCAGGTATGCTCCATGGAACGAACTCTAGTTATAATTATTTTCTTCTTTCATTCACGTACGGTAGAAGGGAATAAGAGAGATTTTAAAAATTAATCTAAACAAAACATAATTGAGAAAAAACAAATATGTGGAAGTGGAACCTCTATGAGGCCACTAAACGTCTGTTTACTTACCAAATAACAAGCTTTATCTTGTTAAGCGAGGTCAGTTTTGTACTAAATGAGAGATTTCTAAAATATCATATCATTATCAAATTGCGAATTTTTTTCTCAAATAATATTTTTTAAAAAAATTTACCAAAAAAATATCTATTACACATTATTTACCCAAATAGACTTGTTTACTGTTTAAACTCAGAATTCGATTCCCGAAAAACCGAATTCAGAGCAGTGTTATTTTTATTTTATTTTTTTTTGCGTTTTAGTTTTTGAAGAAGAAGAAAACTGGATTCAGAACGGACCGTTCTGTAATCAGAACAGTCCGTTCTAGATAAAAAATATACACATGACGAATGAATCAGAACGGGTCGTTCCAAACAGAACGGGCCGTTCTCCAAGCAAAACGGTCCAGTTGCATAATTGATACATTCCTGAGCTCAAAATGAAAAAAAAAGAAAAAAATTTAAATACTACTTAGAATTTGGTTCCCCGGGAACCGAATTCTGAATGTGAACAATAAACAGGTCTATTTGGGTAAATAATGTGTAATAATTTTTTTTTTGATATATTTTTTTAAATATTATTTGAGAAAAAAATTATCTATTATTACATTAAATATTTTAATAAATGGTATTATTTGAGGATATTTTTATGCTATAAATTAAATGAATGTTGAAAGGGGAAGAGTAACACCTCTATATACCTAAAATATGGCGAAAAGGTTTTATTAAAGGAAAGACTTGAGGTACCCCTGCATATATTATGTGAAGCAATAATATATTATTACATATATAGACCACATTTATATAATTTATTTTTCCATTACATCATTTATCCTCGTTTTTTTTTTCTCCAATCACACAATTCAATTTGTTGGTTCACTGTGAGCTTCTCTGAGAAGACGGTACCTTGGCACAACAAGCAAGTGCATGGCTTTCGGCATCAAGAGGCCATCTTTTTCCGTCATGTCCAAGTCATTTGGGGCTATACTTCCTGAAAGTTGCCAGCTAAAGCAATGCACTAGTTGAGCGACAATAAGTTTCACTGTAATTAAACCTAAGTGCAATCCAGGACATCCTCTACGACCAAAACCAAATGGAATAAATTGAGAGTTATGTCCTCGATAGTCTAAATTGTTTTCCATGAATCTTTCTGGATAAAATACTTCAGCATTATCAGACCATATTTTAGAATCTCTTCCTATTGCCCATAAATTTATAAAGATTCTTGAGTTTTTCTCAATGAAATAGCCATGAATCGTAGAATCCTTAATCGACTCTCTGTAGTTTAATGGTATCGTAGGATATAATCTCATGGTCTCTTTGATAACCATATCCAAGTAACTTAACTTTGCTAAATCATTTTCCCCCACCAATTTGTTCCTTCCAATCACATTATCTAGCTCATCTTGAAGCTTTTTCATCACTCTTGGATGCCTTAGAAGCTCGGATAATGCCCATTCCACAGTAATTGCAGAAGTTTCAAATGACCCACTAATCATATCCAAGAGTATTGCCTTAATGTTTGTTCGATCAATGACATGGTTTTGTTCATCATCCGGATCGATAGGCTTCTGCCTTAGTGAGAGTAATATGTCTATGAAGTCCTTGTGGTTTCGTCCATGTTGTACATCTGAACCGTGTTCATGCTCCTTAATTATCTTCTCCAACATTTGGTCAAGTGCTTCACTAATTTTCTTGAACCTTCGTTTTAATCCCTGATAATAAAAGTTACATTACTTCGTTAAAAGAGAAAATGTGCTCACAATATAAAATAATTTTACACTATATTTAACTACAAATAGTAATTTATGATAATTTATTAAATTTTAAAATAATTAATTTAAAATATCATATATATATATATATATCATTAATGATATCTTATTGATTAACCGTGTAAAATTATTTTTTAGTGGAATTATTCTTAGCTAGAAACAATTTTTTTTTATAAAATTTAATTTATTTTTTAAAAAATTGAATTAGTTGAATACAATTCATTTATTCACTTGATATTTATATATGAATAAGTTTTTCAAAAAAAATCAAACTGTAATGAACCAATCAACTTTATAAAAAATTGTTTGATTGGTTCATTAATATTAATTTTGAACTCACACTAAAATGTCGTTAAATTAATTGTCACGCTAATAACTTAATAAAAATATATCCTTAAGGATGGTTCCATGCGAAGAACAAATCACTTAATTCCTACAATATTTATACTTCATGTTCCATATTTTTTTTACGATTTAAAAAATATATATCAAAGTGATTAACATTTTTCAAAGGCTAAAAATATTTGTCATCCTATTTTTTTTTAATAAATTTTATTTTAATTTTTATCTTTTAAAATATTTATTTTAATTTTTTTTAATTAGGTCAATTTAATTCTTCTGACATAGTAATCATTTTTTAAGTTTGAGATACAATTTTAAATCTTTTTTCATTAGTTTAAGATTAAAAACTCATTTATTATATTCATCTATAAAAAAAATTATGAAATTTAATTAATGTTGAAATAGAAGATGAATATAAGTATATTAAAAAGAGTTAACCAGTCATACACTGTCAATATAAATATTTTTACGCTGACAACTAATAATATCTTTTAAAATTACTTATTTTATTATTATTTTATTAAATAAGCAATTAACATGTCATTATTAAAAGATATAATTGGTTGTCAATGTTAAAAAGCTTTATCCTGACAATATATAAGTGATTAACTCTATTAAAAATTATATAAAAAATAAATTTCATGTTGAATAAAAAAAAGAATTTGATATTATTTAAAAAAAAATTATCGAACATATTTTCATGCGATTTTCGATTCGAATAACATGAAATTCATATTGAAAATTGCATGTGGAGAAAAAAAAAAAAGTGGAGTAAAAATGTAATTTATCTAAATAATTTAACTAGAGTTTTTAAAAATTAAAACTAATTAATGTGATTTGCATACCTGAAGATCGAGAGCTCCGAGGCAAGGCACATAATCCGCTAGATTAAACGCGCCAAGAAGTTGATGCTCATTTTGAATCAACCCTTTCAAATCAAAGTCAGCATCCTTGCTGCGCCCCAACACCATTTTGTACACAAAATCTTCAACAACGTTGTGCACCACCTCGCTAAGGTCGACGACCTCGCCATTCATTGCGGCTTTCTCTAGCAACTTCAGCGCTTGTTCCAACTCTTTCTTCCTCAAAGGCGCAAAGGACTCAGCCTTGGACGCGCTCAGAAGCTGTAAGGTGCACACTTTCCTCATGTCACGCCAGTACGCACCGTATTTGGAGAATGCTAACCCCTTGGACCTGTAGCTAAAGCTGTTAGTGGCTTCAAGTGTGGGACGATTAGAGAAAACGGCGTCGTGTGTCTTCAGGAATCGCTCTACAGCCTCTGCGGATGAGACCACAATGGTTGGAACTTGCCCTAGCTTCAGGGACATGATGGGTCCATATTTTTTGGCTAAGGCTTCCAGGCTGCGGTGTGGGAGTTTTCCCAACATGTGCAGGTTACCGATTACTGGAATGGTCGGTGGACCTGGGGGGCGTCTATGCTCATCTTTCCTCACTTTTCTACCCACAAAGATGGTAGACAAAATGAATACCAAGGCTGAAAGTATTACAATGGGGATTGAAAGACTCATGATTGAAACCAAGCTACATGCTTAAGCACGCTACACCTTTCGCTTAAATACTACTCGACAAGCATTCACAGACTTATCAACTCCTTTCAAGGACAATTATTGTTTCTTTTATTTAAGAGTGTGGAAGGGGTTAAGAGTGTGGAAGGGGTCGGGTTGGATCAGATTTTAATCAATTTATTATTTGATTTGATCAAAATTTAATGAATTGAGTTGAGTCAAATTTGTATCATTTTAAAAAAAATCAATTTAATCATGAACAATTTGGATTAAATTAGGTTAATTAGATGCATATAACTATATTTATTTATTTATTATAAAAATTTAAATATTTCAAAATAAATATAAATTATTTGATATATTATTATAAATTCAATATTATCAACTTATAAAGCAAACAATGATATAAATTAAATTTTAAAATAAATTTATTAATTTGTTACATTATTATCACCTCAAAAAATTAATATTAATTAATATAAAATAAAATTTTAAATAAATATATTATATTGTTATAGTATTATCGATCTAAAATACAAAACTTATTACTAAATAGGAATGATAGTGAGTATTATTCTGAACAAATGATCATTCAAACATTATTATTATTTATTTATTTATTTATTATTATTATTATTAATTGAATTGGATCAGGTCGATAACGGGTTGACAACACAAAATTTATTATTCAACCCGTATAGTATTAGATTTTGATCGATTAAATTAGATCTGATCCAAACATTGAAAAAATTTGATATAAACTTATTGGATTAATTTGAGTCATTTTGAGTTCACAAATTATTCATATCCACTTATACTCCTACTTTTCTTAGTGAAAAAATCATGTCTTTCACCTTTAACTCGAATTCATTTTGTGAAAATCAATTTCAACACGAGAAAAACAATTCTTATAACCTAAACCGGTTGTTCAATAAAAAAAAAAATAATTTCCTTTTAGCTTTTTTTTATGTCGTTTTCTATGTGACAACCGACAAGTCTTACATAATGGAGGTCTCTATGCTGGAAAAATAATTATTTGAAAATATAATTTTGTTCCATCCAAGTTTTATATCTTCTTCAATTTTTCCTTTTTCCTTATGTTTTCGCCTTATTTTAATTTCATAAAAATTTGATTTTTCTCGCGTTCCAGCCTTATTTGAATTTTGAAGCTTCAAATACCATTGGTTACTTTGGTGGTTTTGGGAAGTTGTCCCACTAGCCCGTACTTAAGATCGCCATAATTAATGGTGTGAGAAAATTATTACCGGAAGTTATCAATGAGCAATAACTTTTGACTATTAGATACTTAAACTTTAAAAGTAATTATCTTGAAGGATAAAATAATCTTTGAGGAATAACTTAGGGTTGTCAAAGTGGATATTTAACTTCATCCATCTCAATTATTTTTTAGGTAGATTGATTCAGCTTAATCAACTTATTTTAATACTTTAAAAATTTTAATTCGATTCAATTTTTTACGAGTTAATTTATCAATCTACCTAATTTTTTTATAAAAATTATCCAACTAAATATTATGTATGCGACATTAAATTTATTAAAAAGTGTACAATTTTAAGTAATAAAAAATATTGTCATTTAAGTAATTAGGGATTAATAAATTTTATTAAAGATTTTAATAAATAAATTTATAGCAATTTAATATTATTTAATATTAATTTTATATTCGTCAACAGAAAATATGATGCATTGTCAAAATAATATATAAATAACAAAAAATAGTTAAGTGGTAAAAAATTTAAAAATGAATTAGTAATAAATAATAAAAAATTTCTGGTTCTTCAAAATCATGCAATAAATTTTGTTAAAATGAATAACTCAGTATTTTTAGAAAGAATAGTAGAATGATATTTGATAAGTACCCGACATCCGAGACTAAAGCGGGCTCACTAATGGTTGTAGCGATTGAAATATTTAAAACATCATAAGGCATTTGAAAAATGATAGTCATGGTCATAACAATCCTTCTAATAACCTAATACATTCAACTTATTAAGAATATTTGGATCAAGATTTGGCTCATCTAATTATAATTTTTATTATTATGTAATAATTTCAATTACTTGTCTATTCATTAAAAAGTTAAGTGATCTTATCAGGTGTTACTCACAACTATTAGTGATATCATATTATTGCATGACACCTTAAAAGAAATTACTTATTTATAAAATAAATATTATTTATATACTTTAAAATAATTATTAGGGACCAAAAATAGTAATTTAAAAAGGATAAAAAAAATATTTTACAGTGACTAAAACTAAAATTTACTCATTTTACAAGAATAAAGAATATTTTACAAAAATTAAAAAGTATGTTTACAATTTTTAAAATAATAAAAAATAAAGAAAATTATAAGGACTAAAATCATAACTCCCTTATTTTATTTGAGTAAAAACATATTTAAATTTATTTAAAAATATTTTATTTATTATAAATTTAGTTATATAAAATAAAAAACTATACATGTCACACATATCAAAACACTTTTTATAAATCTCAAAATTTTAATTTCTTATTTTTATAATTATATATTATTGGTACATAATATTTATTGACTTAATTGATGACCAATTTTCTATAAAAAATCTAAGTGACTATCTTTAGTAAAGTCTCATATTTTAATAATATTTATAGATTTTTTATTCTTGCAAATTGCAAATATTCAAATCAAGAATAAAATGTTAATTTATATTTCATGCAATTAAAGTCACGATTTTTCTAATATTTGTCCTGTGGCACATTTGAATCATTATTAAAATTTACTATCCATCTTTTTTTTTAGTATATTTATTATGTGATAGTGTAAACAATAATAAATAACATTAATTCTAATTTTTATTAATTTTATGTTATTTTTAATGTTGTCCTTCTATTTATTTTTTTTACTCTCAATCAAAACAATAATGAAATAAATTTTAACAATATTTTACTTAAAAATATAATACATTTTTTATTTATTTTTAACTCTATTATATTTTCGTTACTGCTGATTTTTTATTATTATTGTCACTATGTATGTTTCAGATTATACGGGTGTTATAATATAATGTGATATGTTCTTCATTTTTCAGTATTATACTAGTGTCCATGAATATTTATAAAAATTACTTTTTTGTTTTTGATGAAAATAAATAAAATAAAAAAATAAATAATATGTACAAAAATTAAAATAAATTTGATTTAAATATATTTTTACTCTAGATAAAATAATGTGTTTTAATTTTTTGTACAATATTTTTTAAAATTTTTATTCTTTTAAAATTTAAAGTCATTATTTTTTTAATAATCATTTTAAGATATATAACACCTTTTAAATTTTATAAAAAAAATTACATATATCGAATACTAATAAAATATTATATATAATATAAGTATTATTTGAGATAATCATATTATTTTTTAATGAAATTTAAATATATTTTTAATCGTTTAAATTTAAAATAACTCTTTTTAGTCTTTTAAATTTAAGATTAATATTTTAATTTTTATAATTTTAAAAAATTTATTATTTATTATCACATAATATTTTATTTATTAATATAGAATATTATTAAATCAATAGCAACAAAAACATAATAGAGTTAAAAAAACATAAAATATTGTCTAATACTTTAAGTGAAATATTGTTAATTTTAATAATTATTAAAGGCTACATATTAAAAAAAAACCGTTAAAGTAATTAAGTATAATTATTTAGTTTCATTATTTGTGATTAGCATTTAATCAATAATTAGCTAATTCATTTGATTGTCTCTAGCGTAGTGTAATTAATTTAGGATAATATAATATTATTATATATATTTTGAAATGATAGTAATTATTTTATTTGATTTATTTTTTAAATAATAAAAAATAAATAAATGGATTTTTATCGACGGGTTTCACAAAGATTAGCATTTTATTGCTGGATGTCTTGATCCTACTCCATTAGCATGGTTTTTCTTATGCGCGCGGTCATCATTGCACACATGATGGATGTGCTTTTCAACGAAGAAGACGCATACAAATGCAAAAGGAATAATAAAAGACTACATTAAAGCTTTCCTAGTTAATAAGATGCCAACTAAATGATTGATGAGATAAACCAACTTAGTTGGAATTTTTTCATATAGTAACAACATTTGATAAAAATAAAAGTGCCAACTATATAAGCTAGAATTTTATTATGCTATTAATCGTTTATTATCGATATATTTCTTATATTTATGTCATTTGATAAATAAAAAAAACTTAAGTTCAAATATCGGTACACTTTACTCGATATTTAATTTAATGTTAATTAAGAAAAATATTATGACTAAAAATTTGTTATAGGAATTTAAATTGTTTTGAATGTAAAGATAAATATTTTGTTTCTAATAATTAAAGATGTTAGAGCTTGATTTTACATTAATATTTCTTGCACATATCTATCAATTAGAAATAATATTTGTTAATTTAACAATGACTAATAATTATATTTTAACATTAACCCTTTTGTTGGATCGAGCGCTTACCACTAGGCCAAAAGCTATAGCTTATAGTCAGGGCGCAACTATTTTTACTTAAGAGCCCAACAGCCCATGTGTCATGATTCGACAGTGACTTGGCCCACCTAGCCTCCGCCACGGGACAATTGATGCAACCCGCAACAATCTCCCCCTCAGCAATTGCCCCACTGGGTATCGAACTCATGACCTTGGCTCTGATACCAATTGTTAGTCACTTACGATTGTCATTCCCTACTCAAACATCTCAAAACTTTGTTAAATATATATATATAGAGGATGATGGTTCAAACGATACCGGTGTAACTTTTACAAAGTGTTACACCGTTTAATAACTTTATATTAAATGTGAATTCGGAAAATTCAGCCGTTAGATTGAAAGTTCATATCTTTTAGATCATATATGTCAAATTTTGTTAAAATTGAACAACAACTTGAAGGTAATCAAAGTGTTCATATTTTAGTATATTTTGAAATGTATATATTACGTCAATTTTGTTTTATGAGAATGAAGTATCAAATTATTTTAAATTAATATAAAATTTGATATATATGATCTAAGAAATATAAACTTTCAATCTAACGGTTGAATTTTCAAAATTCACATTTAATATAAA